TTCATGCCCCAGAGACACTGTTTGAGATGATAAAGCCTGTACAGTCACAACACTGCACCAGTTGGTAGTGAAGCTTAAATGTCCCACTTAGTGCACTGTTAGGAGGATGGATTTTAAGCAGGTTTGTGTGATTGTGTAGTCAAAAGATGACACTGACGTAACATCGCTGGACAAGCCACAGCCTTCAAATATCACCAACCCTTCATATGAAAGTTCTTCTGCACTGACTCCACCAGAACTTACTTACGACCTTTTCTCAGTAAGTGTTCCTTTTGATTTGAGACACAAATTATCATAAGAGGGAATGACTTTATGAAAGGAAAATGTCTAGTTTGAAAAAAAGAAATAGTAATTTGGGAAAACACTATTCAAGTTCTTGGCTTTCCTGTCTCCTCACTGCTAGAAACTGAGTCTGGGGTCTACAGCTCTAGCTCTTTGAAGTCTGCCACTCTATCTCTTTGAAGAGAGCCACATTAATTTAGACTTCAAATGCTGTTGGATACCAGTGAAGTGTCTATAAAAACTTAAAAAGCCTTCCAGTTTTGCCTTCCCTTCTCTTTGCTGCAAACACAGCTGCATGCCATGCCAGAACTTGAAAAATAATCTGAAACACAACAGGAAAGGATCTGGGAAACAAGGTAAGGAAAGATTAGGTAAACTCGGAATATCTTATAGCCTCAATCTTCCAAGTTAGCAAGACCCTCGTATGCAGAGTCTAAAATCAAAATAAACCTTTTTGCACCCAGTAAAAAGACTTGTTTGGTGCAGAAGTGTCAGGTGCAAACTCTGCCATCTGTATGGACAAATTTGCCAAAAAGTTACTTTAATTTCTTAACAACAATGTTCAAGTCTGATTTTCTTTTTCTTCTCTTTTATAGGATTCAGATGACCAGCAGCTTGTGATGAGTGGTCCTCATGATCAGAATTAAACACTGAATTTGGCCTTAGTCAATTATAAAACAAAGTTCTATTGTCACTTACTGTGAAAAAACAGCACCTACATTTTTTCAGGGAATAAAATCTCATTATAAATTAAAACCCAGAAGAGCACAGCTGTGTTCAAGATGCAGTCTAATGGCTTCATTGAGGTAGCAACCTCAAAAGTGGTGGCTGTATTTAAGTGATACCAACTATGAGTAACAAAAGCAAACTTGAGCCTCAACTAACCTACCCAGAAGCAGTCACTTCTCTGTGAGAAGTATGAGTTTGAGTAGCCTGTTATTTAACTGCTTATATTCTTCTGCACAGGCTTTAAAATGTCCTCAAACATACTGCTAACTTGGCATGTATCCTCCACGTCCTAGTAGTACTCCTGCTCTGTGCTTCCATTTTGGCTCAGTTACAACTACAACCAGGAAGTGTGAAACAGAACATATGTTAAACCTGTATTTTTAAACTTATGGGGTTTTTCTGCTAGTATGTTTTCTTGCAAGAACTGCAGCCTCAAGAAACACAGGCACCCTGCTTGCCCCAAAACCTTACCATTATAGCAAATGGTGAGAACACTACAGAAACCACAAAATAGCAAGAAAAGGAAGATTTTCTTGCTGGCAGCAGTGACATTCCCTTATGATGTGCTTCCTAGTGTCTACCACACTCAGGGGACAGGAGGAAAGGTGTCACTGCAGGAAAGCATTAGTGACCTCTGAGAACACATCCTAGAACATCCCTGGAGACATCTGAGGTCGGGTTTGAGGAGGCTCTGAGCAACCTGATCTAGTTAAAGAGATCCCTGCTCACTGCAGGGGGGTTGGACTAGATGACCTTCAAAGGTCCCTTCCAACCCAACATATTCTATGATTCTGTGACACCCTCAGGATGTCTCCTATCAGAACAAGATACACCGGGTTGTTGATGCAGCTCTCAAGTACAACCAAGGGAATCTCATGTGTAAATATACTTGGACGAAAGAAACACACTTAGGAAATTTCCCTTAGTCCTTCCTTTGCCGCCCTACATATGCCTGCTTGTTTTTAACTATGAGATACTAAAAAAATCTAGAACACTAACACGCACACATATTTAGGGGAGTTTTCCCCACAGTATTCTGCAATTAATGCAACTCCTGTTCCTTCCTTCTTCCCAGCCACCAAAATATTAAGGCTCATAGGGACCAGACAAAGTCCAAGCATTTATTTTTGTAATAATCATTAAATATTTTTTTATCACAAAAAAAAGTTCCACAGTTCATTAAACTCTTCTTTCAGTGACAGACTATTCTCTTCCATGTTTTTTGACATAACAGAATGAAAACTTGTTGCTTTGGTGTTCAAATGAACTATACTCTCAAAATTATTATAAAGAGACACTGCACTTTAAATATGCTCAAAAATCTCTTTGAAGTCAGTAACATAACAAGGTTAAAATAAGTAATACAGACAGTGCGAAGGTGAAATAATTACAAAAATGCAAGTTATTGAATAGCATTCTAGCACTGAAAAATAAATAATACACTTTAAAATTCTCATTTAAATTCATATGATATATATAGTTGGGTTGTTTTAAAGCAACATAACCCTCCCATCATTTTTTTCATGCAATGTTGTTTATTTCAAGAAGTCATGCAATATTAACAAGATTTTACTTCAGCTCACTGTTATAACATAGCTTTGTACAGAAATTTGATTTGCAAGTTAAGAGAAAGGAAGGGGAGAGAAGGAAATAATCTTGAAACAAAGCCTATATTCTGTGGGTAACATCATCCAACCCAATTAAACTGTTCCTGCTTAACACAGGAAAATTAGACAAACTGACTGCTAGCCAGCTTTAAAAAAAAATCACAGTTATAACCAACAACACATTAACACATTCAGTAATGCAGAACTGAGTAACAGAATACTATTATCTGCTGGTAGTAAGATGGAGAACATACAGTGGGCTGGGGTTGTGTTTTGGTTTTTAAAACAGTGCACTGAAATCTCCGTAGCACGAGAGGTGCTACACACGTAACACCAAGTTCGGTTCTAGCTCAGCATTAGGATAAAGAACTGAAGGCAAAGTGGGCATATTCCCATCCCCACATTTCATTATCAAGTTATGCTAAATATTTCTCACACAGCCCCACAGACAAGTCTCCTGATAAAGCCAAACTGACTTCTGCAAAACTTTATCAGTTTCTTCCAGCAAAAGAGGAGGGCTGTCAGATGAACTTACTCATTTCAAGTGTAATTCTTCTGTTTAAACACTCATACATACTCACTCTTCAGGAGTGTTGATTGTCAAGTTTGAAACAAGAGCACAAGAAAACCATGAACATAAAATCTATAACCATCTCTGAGGACTTCAGACTGATTTCAAGCATACAGGAAAACCACCTGGGAAATTGTGCAGGCTGGATTAGAATACATTCTTTACTTTGCAAACATGCTTTTAGAAATATGAAAGATACTACACTGACATTCAATATATGTACTTGTACATAACACAGACAGGTTAAGAAAAGAGAAAAAAAACAGAACAAAACAAGAAAACTTTTGGTCACCAAAAGTTCATTTACCCAACAATTATGGTAGGAAGCAATGTTCCAAAATTAAGAATACCAAATGTTGTTAATTATGTGCTTTTAAAAATAGAGCCTTTAGTAACTAAGCTTCGAAAAATATTAATCTTATTATGCCTTCTAAAATGGCTGGGGTGGGAACCATCAGTTAAAAAAAACATTTTCTTTGGAGGCAGAGAAAGGAAAGCATCCTTATTTAAAAACTATATAGCAGTTCTATAAAGTGCCTGTTTGAGGAAAAACATAAAAAGATGTTTTCCTTGTGCAAAATAGACATTTTTCAGCTCAAATCTTTGGAACATATTGGTACCCAGAGTTTTGTGTTCATGTGTTACCTGCAATTTCAGTAATTCAAAAAAACTTCTCATCTGCACAACCAAAATTATTTAGCTTGATACAAACTGTCCATCACCCCCAATTCAGCTTTCAGGGCTCAAGCTAAAAAAAATGTCATTAGAAAACTCTGGTTTTCCTTTTCTCATTTTTTAATTTTTCTTTCAACTTCAACGCCCATTGTGCGTGTTCACTTTGAATGTAAAAGTCCGTTATTGAAGGCTATATGAAATACATTCTCCCCTAGGGAAAAGCAAAACCACATTGCATACCACTGTAAGACACATATTTTTAAAAGCAGCATTTAGGATCAATCTAAAGCCTGGCACAGTTCTGTCTCCACTTTGAAGTGCAAAATGCAAGAGCTCTTGAAATAGCTTTATTATCAAAGAGTGGCTACTTAAAGTGGTTTGATACTTAAAAAAAAAAGGTGCCTCAAAGTTAACAAAAAGAAGCTGAAGCAGCCCAAGTTACCACCACTTTCAGTTTTAGGCTCAAATGCACCTACATCAAAGCACAGATGTAAGACCAGGACAGAAACTGTGCAGACAGGAGAAGCAGCCCACCAGCCTGAGCCCTCTGGTGTGGCCATTGCTGCAGCAGCAGAGACAAACTAGGGTTGCAGCAGTGAGTTCAGTCACAGGTAAGGCTCTAGCTACAGCAGCAAGGGAAGTTCAAATGCACCCGCCATCCCTGTCAGTCTCACTGTAAGCTGGATACTAACTGTGTATCACTGAAATACTAATACTGGAATAAACTTTTCAGTGCCAAGATCCATTAAGGCTCCAACTGGAGTGCTGAACAGGGCCAGAACAGAGAGCATAAGCATTTCTTTGCAAATCACAAGGCTGCAGATTGAAATTTCCAAAGAACAAACAAAACCAGCCATCTCCAGAACACCACCAGCCCTTCCTCTCAAATTGGCTCACCCTCCCTCCCAGCCCTGTACTATTTTGGTAGTCCTTCACATCTTCTGTGTGTTTAAGAGGAGCTTTCACATCTCTGAGCAGTAGAGCAGAAAACAGGTACAATGGTTACAAGAACAAGCATGAATTACACCTAAATCAAGATAACAGATTTTAAGTGACTTAAATAAAGTAAATGTACATTTAAAAAAAAAAAAAAGTATGTCTATATTTGCCCATTTTAGAGAGAACAGGCCAACTGCTTATTTCATCTGAACTGTCTCTTGTAGGAAAGGTATTCTGAATGTACCAGTGCACAGCTGGTCTGACCAGCCAGGAAGTTCATGCTGCAAAGGAGTCCTTCTTGGATAAAATGTGTAATCAGGATCATAGTTCAAGAGACAACTCAATGATGCCATGTAGATATCTGCAAATCTAGACAGACGTCTTAGGAAATAAGTTGGATTCTCATCCGTTCTGAATAAGCTTCCAAACTGTGCATTGAAGAAATTTCTGTTCATCTCCCTGTCAATCCAAAAAAAAAAAAAAAAAAAAAAAGAAATCAAAGTGAACATACCTGCACACATTTCTCATGCAGAACCTGAAGCAAGCAGCCCCTATAATCTGTTCTATGCATTATTCTCTTGCCATTGCACTTAACATCACTTAAATGTACCACGTAAGAAATACATGCACCTCTTGCACATATGTAGCCCAGATCTAGCAATTACAGCAGCAAACCAGAGAGTTTCACATTTCACCCACTAAAACCAGAGGTAAATTGCTTCTGACTTCAGAAACACAACATCTCAAGACTTCCTTTCCAGAGACTGTGAAAGAAGACTTCTGCCTTCATCTAAATCCTAATGACATCCACTTGTCCTAAAGGTAAAAGACTTAAAAAAACCCCAACAAACAAACAAACAAACAAAGAAACAAAACCCAAAACACCAAAGATTTGGCTTAATGTACACATCTTGGAATTTAACTCCATTGCCAAGTATCATTATTCTCACTTCATTCACTTCCATATTTCTGGAAGGCTGCTGGTGGTACAGCTGCTGGCCTTGCCAACTATGCACTTCACATACCCTGCATTGAGATATTGCTCCTTCAGGATAGTAGATTTTAGTAGGAGTTTTAGCCCTATTACTTATCTCTGTGAGAAGTCCCCTGCTAACTCCAGTCTAGTGCAGAAGCCAGTTTCTTCATATTCTAAACTGCATTGTATGTAATTTGAAGAAATCATCTAAAAAAACTGGTGACCTAAGCCTTGATACAGAAACATGTTTTTAAATTATGCAGAAGTTAAGCTGTGCAATCAATAGCAATGGTGACAACTGAATATAAGAGGCACAGAACAAAGATGAAAAGGAAGAGTGTTCCATCTGATTGTTACCCTTTCACTCTGAAAACTAACATCTATTCAAAGAAGGGGAACAGGGAAAATGGGTTCATATGCACAAGTGTCAGAGGGGAGAAGAGCCACACAGGTAGAATATTGCTTTATGCGGGTGTTCTTTTAGAAGGTCCAGGGCATATAAAATCAGGGTTGGATAGGAATTCTGAAGAAACCTGTGGAAGACACCACATAGAACACTTGGCTACCATGACGCATATCGCAAATGCTTGATCACCCCTGCCTTACCTCATTTCCTTTCTTTCCTTCTTCCATTCTTCTAAAATCATTTGTGAATCAGGATCACGGTGAACCTGGAATGCAAAGGATGGATGACAGGTAACTAAGGATTTGCCTTTCCATTAATAAACCCTTATCAGCTAACAGGACAAGAGCACTGCTTCAGAGATCAGCACACAGAAGTTGCTCATATGCATTTTAAACAACTGAAAGCAGGAATCAATCCAGGCTGACAAGCAGAGGAAGGAAACAGGATTTTGGTAAAACCTTTACTAACAAGCCACACAAATAATTATATTTATTTATGTACTGGTGTACTTTAATGAGATAGAAAGCATTTGCAACGTCAATGACCAGCATTTAGAAACTTGGCTGGATCCCTTCTGCTATACAGAGCCGATTACACACAGACAGAACAAACCTGCATATGTTCCAGTAATCCTGTCAAGGTTTGCAGCCAGGTCATGGTTTGAATGTATTTCTCTGTGTTCATGATCTTAATCTCTGACCGTAACTCTGGAATAATTGCACCAGTGCGCCAGCCATGCTTCAGGGTCAAATCCTATTTACCAAGAAGTATTATAAAATACTAGTATTAGTCTCAAAAAGAACTACTTAAAAGAAGTGAAGAATTTGACCATTGTTTATCCCACACAGGGATAAACAATAGTGCCCACAAGGGGCACTATTTTAATTACTTCTTATGTATAAACAGAGGTACTAAACAGTGGGACTTAACTGTGCCAACAGGTACATAGGCAATAGATTTTAATTTCAGAATAAGCTTCACATTTTTTAAGAGATACATAAAGAACAAATAAGCACTTGCAAATAAGCACTAACTCATTAGGCTTAAAATAAGCAGTGGAAAATTCCTCTTGTAGATGAGACCTCTGCTGCTGTCAGAAGTATCTGTAGGAAACAGAGCGATGAGTTTGTGGTATCTACCCAAACACTCAGCTGGCAGGAGAGTCCCATCAGGACACCCAACCATCGAGCTTCTCTTGACAAGGGCAGGATGAGGCAGCTGCCACCTGTGCTCTTTCCTCCATCATGCCAGAGAAGAACAGAATTACATCCTCCTACCTTTGGCCCTCAGCCTTCTGAAGCACCTAAATTTACTTCTCTTTTTAAAAGCATATTGGGGCAAGCTGCTGCTGCTGAAACATGTTACCACAGCTTGGCAGTGGAAAATCATATCCAGGCATTCATACACAATCAATTACAGAAGACCTAAATAGTGGTCACTTATTCTAACGTAATAGTTCACAGTACCTTTGTTTGTAAAGTTGTAAAAAAACACCTTGATACTGGACCTACAAACCACAGCATGATCTTGGGAAGAAATGAACTTTACCACTAGTGACAGCAAGATTGTCTCCTGCCATTCAAAACTGTTGACTCAGCTTGTATTACATTTGGTAGTAATTGTCACCCAAATCAGCCACATCCTGTAGGTTTGGATATCTGTGTTTACTCTGTTACAGCTGACATAATCAGTATCTGGATCAGGAACAGAAACTCACACATTCCTGAGTGCAATTTGTAAACAAGTTAAATGCTACAACTCAGGTGGAAAACAGGGTCAGTCTTTTACAGCACCAATTTTCTTCAGTGCAAAAAAAGCAATACGGCTTAATTACTAACCCAAATTTTGTTCTATTTAGAAATCACAAGTGAAAATGTGTTACATTGAATCACTGGGGAGGAAGAGAGAAAAACAAAATCCCTCATCTTTCATCTTATTTTGTGAAAGTAAACTACTTACTGCCAAGTCACTGTAGATGTGATCACCAAAGTAGAGAACCTTAGAGCCCCTCCAGCCAGTAAGCTTCAAAAACTCATATAAGTTACCCTGTGGAAACAATGACACGTACACTGTAGCAGCATGCAACTTGCCCTTTCACAAGCATGAAAAAGCTATTTAGTAGATCCCTAAAAATATTTTCTTAGCAAAAATCTTGTCCTTAGTTTATATATTAAGAATCCTAAATTTTATAGGAAATTCCAGTAACACTATCACTTCAAGAGGAAAGTAAACTGCTGACATAAAATACCAATGATGAATTTGTACCACTTCAATCATTAAAATAGCTATCTTAAAAAAAGGTATCTACTTTTTAGAAGCCTTTATGATATCTAAAGGAGCTTGGGATTCTATGAAATAGGTATTAAATTTGAACTGAGTTTACTGAAAGCATACCTGTTTGTAAATCTGACCTTTCTGCAGCTTGTGAATTTTGTCCCAAAGCAACACTCCCCTTTCATTCACCTTCCGAAACGGTCTAGAATATAATTATATTCAATTGTTATATTGTTGTAGAAAGTCTGACACTTTTTAGGAGGACATTAAAATTAATATTAAAAATATTTGTCTTTCAAAAAAAGAAAACATGCTCTCTAGCATCTGAACATATTGTAATAGAAAAAGCAAAGCTCCAAAACTTCAGCTTTAGCCAGTGAAATGTAATTTATCTATCCAGTATATTTATCACATTTGTAATGGAGTTTGAAAAAAACTGTTGAGAACTAAAGCAGGGATCCTAGACAGGAGGAAAGAAATTGTGAACTGTCTGCCATCAAGGAGAGGAAAGAACACAAAAGTAAAGCAGTATAAAAATCTCACCCAAAACCTGATTTTGCACAACTGAACAACTGAAGGAGGAAGCAGAGGACCGGGGGCAGCAGTTACAGCAGTTCTTTTTAAAATTAAAGAGTATAGGAAAAAAATTCCACCTCTCTAACTCACTTTCAAATCCTAAGTACACATAAAGGAAGAGGGCTTTTTCAACTGTAAACTCATTACAAATGTCTTTACTTAACTGAGCAACTAGCTTAAATACCCCAGTCTGTCAGCCAATCTGCCCTTTAAATACCATATATGACTAAGCAAAACCAGAAGCAACGAAAGACATTTCCAGATAAGGGGCTGATTCTGAAAGGCATCATAATTTCTCAGTTTTATTAGGAAAGGAACACACTTCAACTTACAAACTGAGATGTTAAAAACAGCTTCTGTGACCCTAACTCAGTCCAGTAGACCTGTTACAGCTACTAAAACTTCCTTAGGTAAGAAATGGTAAAAATCTGGACTTCAGAATTGGGTGTTGCTGCGTTCTGTAATGACCTGAAACTGGATTTCATCAAATACGATTTCATTTTATATTGCATCCAAATTAAAATATTTCCTAACACACTCGATAGCCTTATACGGAATAAGTTGCTTGAATTTTCTTTACTGACTAAATACCCACCTTCGCTTATCATTGAAAAAGTTCGGCTTCTCAGCCTGTACAATGACCACATCAAAGAGATCCCTCCAGTCCTTGCCAACTATGAACTTCATGCCTTTGTCCCTAAAGAGGACAAAGGGATATTAGCAGTGAAGCATACCAGAAGTGCAGTTATCTGTGCAATATAATGAATTACATTGGAGAACCTCATCCTCCCCATCCTTTAAAACTGGACAGCAAAGAACCGTTTCCTTACACGAAGCTGCTGGGACTGTTTGTGATGAGAAACATCTTCTTGCCATGGTCAGCCAGCTTTGCTAATACTGCACGTGTTTGTTCAGCGTAGCAGATGTATTTCTCTGTGAGGATTGGAAAATACAGTATTAATTGAAAGAGTTTTATCATGGGAATTTTATCTGCATTTGACCAACAATTCAGAACATGAGGTTATACTTAACAAAGGCACCTTAGACAAGTGGAAATAACTCTTTCAAGCTTTAAAATTTAGGATTTCTAATCTTAAATTGGGAAGCCAGAAAGATCATGACTGTGAAAAAAGTTCTGATAGATGACCTCATTAATACTTACCTATGTCTGCTTCAATTGCTCTGTACATTATTCCTTTGATGTGGACATCCCTGATTGCATCCTGTGAGGAAAGCAACACAGCACTAAAGAACTGAAAAATATTTTCAACAATAAAAGCTGTGCTCACTGCACAGCAGTAGTAGTTTGTTTTTAAAACAATCCCTTTCTATGAATTACACTTTCAAGTTCACAGAAATGCCACGTGATGTTCATTATGTATATGTCACCACTAGACAAAGAATAAGCCTGTCCTCTAAGGAACTAACTTCATACTTTTGGGAAGTACAAAACTGTATAGAACAGGGGCTGTTTTATGTAACAACTGTGGAAGGGCACTCAGAAGGGTGAAGTGGGGTGAAATCCCTCTGCAGAAGCAGAGTCAACAGAGATTTCCAATGACCTTTGGAGCAGAACACATTCCTTCCCTCTTGGGGAAAAAAAAATTAAGTCAGGTAGATTTTTAGATTATAATTACTCCCAGATGCCCTGGTTATTTAAAACCAAAATTTATCAACAGATGAAAGAACCTAAATGCTTAACGCAAAGTACCCATAAGGTGCACTGGAGGCATTTGGCAGGTCTCCTGAGCCAGCTCTGCACGAGAACTCTTTGTTTATGACAGTGGTACAGCCCTTTTGGTACTTGCATAGGGCATGTCCTAAAAATCCTCGAAAAATTCTATTGTAGGGCTTCCAAAATGTTGTTTATGTTGAGCAATTCAGAAGTTTCTACAATCACTTCAGTAGAAACCATAAAAACTAGCCTTCTAACTCTAGGTGACCATAGGCAGAAGGTAAAATGACTCTGGAGGTAAAAAGTTTCTTAAAACCTATCTGATCTACTTGGGAAGGTGAGAAATTCGACATTCAGGTTTATCGCATACGCTAAACAACTACACAGATTTAATACATGTTAACAAGGGGCCAGGGAAGTTTTGGATGGAAAGCTCAGCCAGTCAAATACCATCAACCTGGGCATGACCTCTTCTGTTCTTAAATAACCATGACATCATTTTATCTCCTCTGTAGAATTACATCCAGAGGAACCAAGCAGATCAAATTACTCTAGTCATTATTACTAGATTTTTCTGGAGGAGGAAGACAGGAAAACATGCAAAATAGATATGCCAAAGTAAATGGTCATATACTTCCAAAGATACACAATACCTTTCAGTACAACTGAAAGCTCCAAACTGGAATTCCCTATAGCATTGGACAATTCCTGCTAGTGAGAAAAGTATACCTTTAATAACAACAAAAGGAGCTTTATTGACATACAAGAGCTCCTTCACTTTTTCCCATTCATCCCTCAAACCTACAGAATCATAGAATCATTACGGCTGGAAGGGACCTTAAAGATCAACAAGTTCCAACCCCCAAAGAAAGAGCAACAGCCCTGGAACAGATTTAAAAAAAATAAAAATAAAATCAAACTATAATGTTTCTTTTCCAAGGTCTGTCTTCATTTTACTTACATTTTTATGGCTTTATAACACTAACTACTCTCTACAAAACCTAAAGTTGAGGTGTTCCACTGAAGCTGACAACAGGTTGAAGCTTCCTGAAGTGCTCGCAGAGAAGATGCACAAACGTAGAGGTTTACCTAAACCTTCAAAGCTAGTACCTTGACATCTTTGTAGAGATGAACAGGCTCATAGTCTATATTGTTTTTCAGAAAATATTCATTCACACAAGAAAGGAGTGTCATTTCTGGCAAGGAAAATATATCCATGAATTGCTTCATTGTATTTCCTTGTGAGCTCTGCAGGGGTGGGAAGAAAACATTAAAAAAAAAAAGGTGAGGCATTTCTCAGATTAGAACACACTAACTCATTCTGTATAAAGACTTCAGCTTAGTTGCAGATATTCAGCTTTCACCATCACTGTTCACATTCACAGATTCTTTTGGAATTTACAGACTTCCAGTACAAAAGTGTTGGCTTTAAGAATTAATCATGACTCATTTTTCTTAGGAGCAGTATTTTAATTCATAAGCACATAAAAGACAGTGCTCAGCTGAAAGTCAAGAGAAGGACTTAGAGGCCTTCACTGGAAATCTGCACTTCCATAAATAAGAGACACTGCTTATTGTGAAGAAAGGTGGAGGTTATGGGTTTTTTTTTTGCTTTTGGTTTGTGGGGTTTATTTTTAATAAATGGAATACTGATTAGGACTGCAAAACAAGTCATCTCCTTGAAAAGAGATAGTAAAAAGTTTTAAGAATCTACAATATCTAACACAGGAACACATGAAAAGATTTCTAGTCTGCAAAAGCTGTAGCTATCGTTAATTTTCAGAAAAGTAGAGAATCTCACTCTACAAGAGCAAATACAGACCAGATACTTGTCAAGAAGACAACACACTGGTCAAGATCACAGAATGACTGAGGCTGGAAGGGACCTCTGGAAGTCATCCTGACCAACCTCATCATCAAGCATGGCTACCTAGAGGCAGCTGCCCAGCATCCTGTCCCAGATGGCTTCTGAATACCTCCAAGGTTGAAGACTCCACAAATTCCCTGGGCAACCAACCTCTGCCAGTGCTCAGTCACCCTCACAGTAAAGAAAGTATTTGCTGATCCTCAGAGGAAACCTCCTGTGTTTCAGTTTTTTCCCCATGGCTTCTTGTTCTGTAACTGTCCTTTCCAAGATCAAAGAAAGCACAGGCCTACAGAGACCAAGGCTTCCCACAAGGAATGCCAAGCCAATATTCACAATTGCTGCAGAGACTAGGCTTCAGAGTTCAGCTCTTTAAATTTGAACAAGTGTGAGAATAAAAATGCTCCACAGCACAAAGGGCCTTTTTTTACTAAAAAGGCTGCACTGCTCTTCATTTAGGAAACTGCAAGGAACCTCTCAGCGAGATCAACTCTCCTCAAAGTCAAACCTTAAACTTAAAAGCTTTATCTTTAATCATTCACCTTTCATCAAACCCTCTCTCACTGTCACTTTCCCAGCTTGTATGCAAGAGATGCCTCCATACTTTTACTTGCTGCTACACCAACTAAGCCCTTAGACCACCAGGAAGAAGTACATAACTGGGGTAAGGCATCAGATCTGGTTCACTTCCCAGCCCTTATCAGATTTGCTGTGCAACACTGAACAAGTTACTTGATTTTCCTATGTTTCACTTCTGTCTGTGTGACCATGCAAGGAAACAATGAAAGAAGAAACTAGAGCAAGTGGGAGAAACAAAGTGTATTTGTCACTTTACAGGGCAAACTTCACATCTAGCACTATAAGCCAATCATGTATTGAGAAAATGTAACTATTAGTAAGTACAAGAACAAAATGTGAACACCACCACCCTCATCTCCACTCAAAAAAAAAAATAAAATTGTAAGAGCCCTTTGTGTTTTTACCTTTCCATAAAAGTCACTCATTTGTTCTAAAGGGACATGGGAACCATCATACATTGCAATGACTTCTTCATCTGGGACAACGCTGAGGCCTCTGGAAAACAACATTAGCTTTAGTTCAAGAGTCAGATTAAAATTTTCAAGTAATTACCGAATGAAAATCTGACATACTAACACTTAAAACTGCAGCTTATTAAATTACTAATAATGTTGTAAGAACACTTCGGTCTGTAAGTTAAAGCAGCATCTTTCCTTACAGAACAAGTAACATTTTAACAGGCTGACTCACACAGAATACATTCCAATTTTAAGCCCTTTTTACTTTCTTACAGGAAAATAGCTAATTAGTCTCCATTGAAACTATGCCTCAAGGGTTTGTAAGAAGTAGTTAGCTTCCAGTTTCTTAACACAAAGTAACTCCTCACTCTGCCTTTGTTTCATACAGCACAGATGATGTGATAGTGTTTAAACCAGATTAGCCTGCTGCATGACCTTGAAGACTCAAGGGAAAGAAAAGCATACACAACCTCTAATTAAGTATTAATTTTCTTTAAACTGTATCAACAGTTCAGTTTCCCAAAATGTAAGATGACTTGAAAAATTGCTGACAAGTAATTAAAATATAAAAGTATAGCTACAAATGGGGAAAAAGGAGACAATCTCTCCTCAGAGCTTCTTTATCAACTAAGAGATTAAAGGCTTTGGTTTGGTTTTGAATGTTTACTGTATCAAGCACCTTGCACTAAAACATCTAAAACACACCAGACATGCACACATCCTCACCAGAGGACAGTAAGTGTTGATGTTTCACTTAAGGTTAAAAAACAAATGAAAATATATTTTTTCCCAATCCTACCTAGAGTTTTTTGCAGCCTTGTAAAAAAGTGTATTTCAGTGTCTCCTTTCTTGGTCTTAACCAAAAGTGTTGCAAGACAGTAAAAAAAATAATAAAATAAAAACTTCATTAGCCTTGTACTTGCAGTGTTAAAGCATCCACATCAGGTTTGCAGAGGAAGGGCACATTACATAAACTTCCTCAGGGCTGCTATAGTAGCAGAGCCCCACATTAACTAGCTCCTTCTCTGCACTTCTCAATGCTACATTGACTTGTACATAGCTCTGTGCTACTGCTGATAGGACTTCAGCATTCAAATTAGTACTGTGCACAAACAGGGCAAATAATAATTTGGGTTTGTAACATATAGAGTTCAGCAACACCTACTCCACTACAATCAATGCAATCAAAATGTTAAACACAAACCAAGTAACACAATAAAAATTGAGAAGGACTGACTCATCTTCTAGTCTGCAGACAGCTACGCCAAGTAGTATATGAATACTGCTAAAGGAAATGCATGTGAATGAGGAGCTACTGAAGCACAAATCACAACAGGGCAACAGACATACATGAAATCCCCAAAGAACAATCAGATGTGTAAGCAAAGCTGTAGAATAGTTTTCCCAGAAGATCCATACTCTTGAAGCAGGTCACAGTCCAGCTGTTAACTACAAAGTTTACTTTATTCCACCAACAGCATGGCACTAAAAGTATCACAGTTCACCTACAGCAGTGCTCCCACTGCTGCTCCTGGAGATGTGCATTGTTAGAGGGATACCAGAATTGCTTTCACCTCTCAAAGTAAGGTTGCACAAGGCATGTCCTGCTACTTTCAGCAGTGTAATTGAACTACACATATACAGAACACAAGGAAGGTGAAAACTAAGAACTACAGATAAGCAGCAACTGACAGAAAAACCCCGTGTTGGTACAGAATAGACAGGTAATCTTATTTTAAACAAAATTAGGAGAAAGTATTGAGTGGAATTGCAGCTTTTGCTCTCCCTAACACACACTCACAAGTACCAATATATGTGGACTAGCAGTCTGTTCAGAGTTACTTTGGCTGACACCAAGAACGCAGACACCAGCTCTTCAACAAATCTCAACACTTAGTTATAGAGTTTTCTTGACTGGTCATCATGTGCTGGCTTTAGATGTGCCTTTAGTTCCAGGAATTGACAGCAATTGTGATTTTCTACCTCTTTGTTTTGTCCAAACCTGAGTCATAAGGCAACACTGCTCATGGACTCACCACCAATCTGTCTTCTCATCTCCGTCACTTTCCATTTCCAGTCATAGCATTGTTCTTGACATCTTTTCTAAAATACTTCAGCCCCTTTTTTGTTCCCCTCATCCCCACAAGGATGGTCGGAGAAACAATATGAAGATGTGCTGACGCCTTGATGACCAACTGCTCCACCAACACATTCCATCCTTTTATCCCTTCTATCAATACTTCTGGTGCTCTCACACATATCTGTTTCCATTCAGATTTTGTTCATACCAATCTTAATATTTCTACTACAGAACTCTACAGATACATGTATTTTTTATTACTTCACCTAGCCTTTAGTCTAGCAAACTAGCATTTTTCACAGTGAAAACAGTGAAAAATGTGAGAACCTTTTCAGATTATTCTCACAACCAGTAGCCTTCACACCAAGTTCTCTAGGTCCCTCCTAGCCCTGCATAAATGATTCCTTCAACAAGAACGGGTTTTGTCAGCTGATATGCACAACAATTATTCTACATCTGCTTGAACAGAAGGCACACATAAATGATACAAAGTTTCACTCTGGTGATACATACAGAACACTGTTTTGGCAGGCTTTAGATAGCTACTATGTTGACAGCAGGAGTTGCTGGAGCATGCCATCTTGTTTCCTGTCACTTGCCTTCCTCTCCCCTCTCCCAAAGGCTATCTCAGACTATGCCATTAAAGAACAGATCAACATCAAGAGCAGAATCCTCTACCTATCTGCACAACTGGCAAACAAAAATAAGTAATAAGTAGATGAGCATTGTTCCATGCTACTATATACAGTCCCTCATAGCAAATCAAGTCAAGTTTGCATGACCTTTTGGCCCCAAAAGAAAGCTTTTTGTCCAATTACATTGAGAAAGGCACCTAGGCTGGTTGTTTAATTTAAAATCTGATACCAGCTGTGGTGTTCATGTCAGCCAAATGCATACTGCCTCATTACACCAAACTGAACCACACTAAAAACTCTCCTGCCAAAGATCACTTACAGCATGTCTGTATCACATAACAAAGCACAGCACAGGAATCTCCAATTTTACATCAATTCAGTAAACTCAGGAAGTGTCACACTGTGCAGACACAAGGCAGTTGTGCTCCATTCTGCAAGTATGACATGGTTGATGCATCCAAACATAAAAGCTCTGTGCAAATACAGCAAGACCTCTCCAGTGTCTCTACCACCACGCCGAAGTCACGTGAACAGGCTCTCTGTGACATTTACATAAAAAGCAGAAGCAGAGAAGCAGTCAGCATATTTTTAGATGTCTTTCAGCACAATTTAACAGCTGGAAACGTAGTGAGTCAGCACTAGGGACCAGCTCCTCCAGCCCTGAACCAGGGCAACCAGCTCTCCTCTATCACTCAGTAAACGTGCCTGCATTGTCTGTGTGTATGTATGTACCCCTGCCAGCAAGACTGCAATATTCATTCATGTCTGTGCTTGTCAAGGCACTGGTCCCAATGTGAACCTAAGATGGACACTAAGAAATGAAACCAAGAGATTAAAAAAATATGAGTGTATGTTTTTATCATAAATAGGAAATCATTTTACCCACCTGTAAACTGTTCCCAGCTGAATATAATGAAAAGCATCAATCTTCATTAATAACGCCTTGCAGGGGAAAAAAAAAATACCAGTTTTTATCACATCAACTATTTGAAATTACAAAAATCAAAGCAATTTTACCTATAACTTGTCTCAACAACACCTGAGCACCTTCATTTCAACTTCCTTATAGCTTCCAAAATACTTTAATAAATGCCTTTTACCTAGGGCTTGGCAAATTACCAAGGAAACACTGTCCAGTGACCTGAGCTAAGTCATGAAGCAGTAACTTTTCCTACTAGCAGATGCCTGCTTCCATTTATTCTGTTGCAATCCAGGTTGCCTTCCAGCTCACTCCATCATGAAAACAACACACTCAAAACAGCATCTACTTAAGAGCTACCTAAAAAAAAAAAAAAATAACTAACAAAGTACCACCACAAAACACCAAGCTTGCTATGAAAGAGAAATACACGAAACAAAGTCCTGGCACATTAACACAGAGGGAAAAGTTGGAAGACTTAGAAGCACCACACAACTCATCACAAAGTTATTTATACATACCCGGTGCACATCATAATGAAGTCCTCTAATGGCAAAATTTGGATCATAATCGTATTTTCTTATTTCTGCAGGATACTAAGAAAATAGAGCAATTATTTTATTTTAAATCCATAACAAAAACAAAAATGTTTTTGCACCACTTTAAAAGCCTACGTTTTCTATGCTGCTCATTTTCACTAACCATTAAGAGGCTTTTTGATGGTTTGGGGAGATTTGCAGGAATATATGCACAGTGCGAGACAAGCCAAGCATTTTTCCAAAATCCTACATCAACATTTTAAGTCAAGCACTATCCCTAAAGTTGGTCATCCAGGTATGCTGCAGTGATCACCTTTGAACATTAACCTCTTATTAAAAAGATATTTTAATGTATGCACCTTTGAAAACTAATTTATATTTATTAACTTCCTAAAATGTAATAACTGAACTACCTTGCATTGTGAAGTCTCCCCATGAAACAGACTATATAAACAGTTTCCAAGTCAATCTTCTAGCTAGAAACCCAGGAATGTGGCCTGACTTACAGATATCTGAACTTTACTTCTCATTTCTATTACAAGAAAAAGCAATACAACATCACCAATATCAACAGGAGAAAGGGGAAAAAAAATGATTGCATTTTCAAGAAACAAAAGCAGCACAACTATCTCTTTTGGCTCCCTCATTGTGGATCATATTCCTGATCTTAGACTGTTGAGTTTGAAATGTGGCTCTCAGAGGTGCTTAAAGATACAGTGCTCCACAAATAAACATGATGGAAGGAAGAGTCTGCTAATGTTACCTGGAAAAGCCAGGCTCCACTATCACGGACTTTCCCCAGGTACAGTGTGGCGCAAAGATCAGACCCTGAAAGCAAGTTGAGCATTAAAGGCCACCAGGGCAAGTCAGTTAAGAAGAGCACCACAGTGACCCAACTATATTTACTCTGAACAGCATTTGTTACACACTCGTTGCTCAGAGATGCAGGCAAACTCAACGTCTGTGTCATGTACTTTTTCCTCAGGTTCTTTACAGATAGCACAGATAGCTCACATCACCTATGACAGAGTTTTCTAGTATTTTTCAGTACAAGCCCATTTTTAGTCAATGGGAATTTTGTCCTGCGTTAAACTTGGGTTAACAATGAAAAAAAGTATATGCAAAGTGTGTGCCTTGATCAAAGTATTTTATTTGTTTTTAAGAGATAAAATGCTTCAGTTATTTCTGACTACGCTTGAGAAAATGTTCATTTATTTAATTAACTAACTGAAAGGCAGTCTTTCATTTCCTTCCTACAATCTTAGACCCTAATAAATGAATCTCAGGCATATTCTTCAACAACAGTCTTCATACATATATGGCTAATTTACAAGCCTTCGGGGAAAAAAAGTAGATTATACAGCTTCAAAAGAGGTTCTAGATACTCTTAGGAAAAATAAATAAATCACAACTTCTCCATAAAGTTTTTATCTATGCTGAAGAGAACTTGCTCTGCAACTGCTGTAGCTTGTGCTTGTACTGAGCACAGGTGTCTACAGTTAAATAAAACAGCCATCTCTCCTAACTTAGGAATCATCATCCTTAACACCAATTCCAGAAAAAAATGGGGAAGGTTACTGATTTAAATGAAAAACAAAATCAAAGTCTAAAAATGGCTTGGGGAAGATGTGTAGATTCTGCCAGGGAACATGAAGTATAAAAGCAGAAAAGGGAAAATAACAGGAGAGGATATAGAATGTGATAAATTAAAAATCACACTATACTGCTCACACCAAAAAAACAGCCACATCAAGCATGAACAAGGAAATTTCTGATTTTTTCAAATTTCCACATACTTGGCTTTCCTACTTCAACTTATTCTACAAGAATGCTGTCTTTCTGCATGCATGCCAGTACACACAAGAGAAAGATTGAGCCTACCTTGGCACACTAACCAAACTTTCCTTACAAGCCAAACAAAATAATGATAAAAATGCCTCGTTTGCTTACCCCACTCTTGGTAAGGATAGATCTATCTGGACCAAAACAGCACTGGAGATAAGGTGGCACAAAGCCCATATTAGGAAAGAAATAAGCCCAACAGCAAGAGTTTACATTCAACACCTGCTGACACCTCCAAGATTAGCATTAAATTAATGTTTATTCTCTTGGACACACTTCAAAATTCCTTACTTCCTACACAGTATTTTGCAATTTCTGATGAATTATCTCACACTGCTATGACCAAAACTGGCCATGCTTTAGGTTGACCATGACAGTCATAATGGGCAATAGTACCTAGAAGCTTTTTATAATGTTAAAGACAAGAAAAATAACAACAGTGTTAGCAGCTACAGAGATAGCATTAATAAAAATTGCTGTTCCCCAATAAATTCCAACAGGAAAGGATGTATTTCAATAAGCTGCCTCAAAAAGTAATTAGAGCTTCATTTACTAGAACTCAAGATATTTTAATCCAGACAAACTGGAAAGTTATTACTGTCTGAATTCATTCAAACAGCATAGACAGAGCACGGTTTTAGTTATTGTCTACAAGACTGAATCTTGACTTCTATGGTCACGTTGATTTTTGCAGGAACAAGGCAGCTTTATTTAAGTGTATTTAAAAGTTCTACAGAAGTTGCTACCAAGACATGCCAAAATCTTAGTGGGATCAAGTTGCATATGCTTGTAGCACCCATGGAGTTTTGTTTGCTCTTTCAAGGATATTTATAGTTGTTTATATATAGCTCCTAACCTTTAGATTCAAATTCAAAAGTAGAACACCACCACCCATTCAGATTTAGGTTGTACGAAATGCACAAGCAATTTATTAATAAAGTTACTCTGTGGAGTAATAATTTTCTTGTTTTATATTTTTAATTACCGTATAGTTAAATTTTCACATAGTAAATTTGTATTTTATTCTGTTTGTAATTTTAAATGTTTCGGTTTTATTATCTTATTAATACAGTTATTCTGTGTACCACCTTTTATTTTCCTGCCAGTCCTGCAGTTCAATAAACTCTGCTTCTTTCAGTCCACATTTTCTTCAATCTTCTCTGCAATACCTTCAGTTTCCCAAGTCACCCACCTTCCCCTCCTGCTTCCTGACACACAACTCCTCCAATGCCCAAACCACAAAACAACCAGCTCCAGCCTGTCAACTGGTCACCGATGCAAACAGTGCATGGTGAGGCTCCCTCTTAGGGGACTACCGAGCTGAACACTTACTTGGGTCTCTCTTGCACCAGTCTCTGATTACAGCGTCAAAGCACACACTGCCCCTTCAGCTTACTCACCCAAAATGAAGGGTGCACACAGAGCTCCTCAGAAGCACACAGTGCAAAGACCTCATAAGAAGTCAGGCTAAAAATACTCCATGTGGAAATTAATCACAGCAATGCATACAACAGAGTAATAGTAACTTTTAAGCCTCTTCTCCATTAGGATGACTCTAATAATTGACAATCAGGAAAAAAACAAAAAAGCACACCCCCTGCTATCAAATTAAAAACAAATAAAATAAAACAAATAAAACTCTTTTCCTTAACAGTTGTCAGGCTGCGCTCTGCTCAAAACAGCAGCTGAGAATAAACCGGAACTTCTGTGGTTCACGTGTACCTTTTGTACAAAATGTGACAAGGGAGCCAAGCTAGGACTGAGGCAAGAAAAGATGATTTATGGTCCTCTGTTAGAAACTATTTATTATACTCTTTTTAAATAAACTTATTGTTATTCCATTAATTTTACTTACCCGATGCTCATTAATAAGAAGATCTCGAGCAGCATTGAAGATCAGTGTGTGCAGATGTTTAGAATAAAAGACCAATGTGTAGTCGTAATCAAAACCATAAATCTCAATATCTGACAGGCTCATTTCATTGTTTGAAAAAATAGCATCCGGATTCAGCATGTTATTCATCAGTGAAGGAACAAACTCTAGGAAGAGGAGAGAGGAAAAAAAAAGTTGTACCAGCCTTGTAGTTTTGTTTAAATAAACACATAGAAATCCATTGGCAATTTCTAAATATAGATAAATTACGATGGAAAATATTAAACTAATTCACACTGACCAACTAATCCTAAAAGAAGAGATGCTATTGAAAATGCTGTCCCTGACTTGTCTTGGTAACTCATAGGTTTTTATTTGAAGCACACTTTTCTCAGTACAATTCAAGTAGGAGAGAAGATGCAACCCCAAACTCTGCATACATATTTTTTGCTAACTCTGTTAACAGATTTATTGCTGCTTTTGAAAACGAACTTCGGAGTTGGAGGAGTATATTACTATAGGAGCCTTGTCTTCTCTTCCCATGATATGGTTCAACTTCTGCTCCAGAAGCAGAACTGACATTGTTTTAATTTGACATTGCTTTACTTTCTTTTACTTCACTATTTCAAGGTTACCACATTACTCGATTTCAACTCAAATAAGAAACTTTTAAGTGATTGCCATACTTTCCAAACAGTTACATACACATTGCTATGCTTAATGACCTTCTGGTAAGTCAGGAAAACAAAAATATTCTACTTATTGTCTACATACATATATCCAGTGTTTGTAAATCACTTCCATTTTTAAGGGTACGTTTCCCTTTATGTTTGTTTGGAAAGTACAGCGTGAAGTTAAGACCACTTACTTAATAATAACATCTTATGGGTCCATGTAACTTTAGGACCAGGACTAAGGTCAGTATTGAGGTTGTTTGTATTTCTTGCTTGGAAAAGCAACATCAGCAGTCTAAATGTTACCCTCCTGGAAGTATAAAACACTAACAGGTTTTCCTTCCTTTCCTCCCCATATACTATCTTTATAACCCAGTTTTCCTTACTAGGGGAAAAAAACTGGAGCTTTCATCTTAAGTCTGTGCTTGGAAGGGCAAGTTTATAGATAACATGCTTTGTTTGGTTACTTTCTACTTGTAAGTCTGGAAGGCATTGGTCAATCTTATCTCAACACCTTCTGCTCTGAGGACAGATACTCTACAGGCTTCATTATGGGAGGGAACCATCTCAACAAGACAGGTAATAGCATGGGGACTCCAGATCCATTATAAAGATGGTGCTCAATTTTGAAAACTCTGGCCAACTCATAGAAAGGGTAAAAGCAATGCCTTAGACTGCTGCACAGTTGATAGGCAAATACAACAAGAAACTTATACAGATGCCCAGTAACAGATGGCAATCTGAAGCCATTCTACTTTATCAGATGCAGATACCCAAGTTTTTTAATTTTTAAGAGACAAAACAGCAATTTCGCCTAACTTTAATTTCATGTTTCAAATAAAGTCCAGCATCTCTTTCACTAAAAAAGATTCCAGGAGTTCCGCATGCTTAAGCCGACATGGAAAGCTGCACCTCTCATTTCAGGGTATTTAACAAAATAAGCCTCTACCAAAACATTAGCTCCCACTATATTCAGTCATTACTTACAGTAATACAAGAGATGTTATGCTCAGTTAACGAAATATTCAAATGCAATCTGACAAGCTACTATTAAGGCAAATACTCTTATTCTATAAAAAAGGCTATGTATCATTTTACTAACTTGAAGTCATAATGACATTTCTGACTGAAGGTCCAAAATCATGTTACAACACCCATTTCTGCAATACAGTTAAAAGTATTTTTTTTCAAATGTCAATTGTGCACCCTGGTGAGTTGATCTTTGTTTTAAAAATAAATAAATTTAAAGATTTAAAGATAAGGATACTTCAGATTAAAAACACTTGGCTCACGCCTGCCTGAGGACAGCATAAACACTTCATTACTTTCAGATATTCTGGTTCCCAGACAGTATCCCAAGTGCTATAAACCTTGGGTCAAAAATCGGGACAGCTTTGTCATCCTAATACTGTAACTAAGTGAAATACCACATACTTGAAGCCACTGGGTAACTTAGGCTGTAACAAAACAGTCTGAATTATTCTAAAAGCACTTGCCTCATCTTTTGCCAACCCACACAGTTATTTTTCTCTTAACACTACTCTTCTTTCTAAGCTCAGCTCTGAAGGGCTATTTGGGTGTGGTTCAGAATAAGAAAGAGGCCACTCCAAAAACAAGGAAAAAAAAATATTCAAAATAAAATCTGCATTTATTCTCTTCCTATCGCTTATCCCACTCTCCAAAGTCCAAAATATGCTTCCAATATCTCCAACACTGCTTCTTATTTCACTTTCAAAATGCTGCCGCTATTTTAGGTTTGCAAATGCTATTTGCACCCAGCACGCTGAAGCCCCAGTTCATACTCAAGACAAGTGCAGGATAAGACCATACTTTTTTTTCTTTTAGAGGGCAAAACATGAAAGACTACAGCATTAGCCAGTGCCCCTCAGGACAAGCTTTCTCACTCGAATCCGTGGTACGCACGCTGCCTCCTTCTCCTTCAGTTCTCTATAAGGATCACATATTCAAGCACCTTTCTAATACTCTTCCCATCAGAGCAGGAGCAGAAGCACACAAGCTTCAAGCAAATATTTGGCCCGTGACTTATTCTACAGCTGGACTGAAGAAGGGCTTCCCAGCGTCATGCATGTATCATTAACATTTCACCCTGGCTTCAATGCTTCACAGTATTTTAATTGAAACACAAGCAAAATAAAACAAAGTAATCTAAAACTTGTCAGCATTTGAACTTTTTGGAAGAGCAGCCTTTTACAAAAAGCCCTTCAATCAGATGATCAACTCCCCGATTTTCTTTTGACATTGTTTTTTCTCCACACATCTCCAGCTCCAGCCACTCT